ATAGATTCGATGTTACAGAGTCCCAGATCATAATTATAATATGCCAGCTTCTCACAGGAACCCTGGGACCTTGGTTCTGGAACTCCACGGTAACTGCTAGAATATTCATGCTGTCCAATGAACAATGGCGTGAACTCAATGAAGACAGCACCTTTGTCATGCACAGAGTAATTAAAAAACAAAAAATCAAAAGTCTGGTGGTATTTCACAGGCAAACAGGTTATTAGAAAACGAATAATTTTAATATATAATAGGGCAATAAAAATCCACCCTATTAAACAGAATTTTTTTAAAATAATATTTTGATGATCTGATGCTAAAAACAATTCTCCCATTTATCTACTGTAACCAATATTATTTTTGCTCTATGTAATATTTTTAAAAACAAATACCTTTCCACCATGAAATAGAATTCTTTGGGTATTTATATTTTGAAAACAATAAAGCAAGCAGAGTTTTTGTTAGATACTTAAGTCGAGAGAGCTTTTTATAGTGATGTAGAAAAGATTCCATTTACTCTTTTCACTTAGCGAATCATTTAAGCTATGTAGTACTAGTGCTTCTGCTTCTGTGTGCAGTGATTTTGTTTTTAAAAAATTAATGCTACAAGCTGTTCTCGCTTCTATTATGTTTAATATTTTCCTCTCTTGTGCTTTTAAAACTAAGTATCTTTAGCTTTCCTGTTACTATAGTCATCCTTTGACTACTTTCCTTTTCAGGTTGTGCTTTTTAATATTAAATACATATTTCTGTAGTTAATGCTAAGAGTAAGAAATATATCTTTTTCTTCATATATTAGAAGTCTGATTTTGACCTTAGGACTTTTAAAATTTCAAGATTTATTAGGAAATGGTTTCCCACTAGAATAGGCCAGAATCCTTCACACTTTAGAATGAAAGAGTTTATTTACAAGAAAAAATAAAGCTTTGATTCTGTTTATTTTGTAAATCTAGTTATTTTGTAAATCTATTCAGTGGCAGTAACGATGACTTTGGGGACAAGTCAATAGTGAGGGATATTCTACAACTTTTTTTTTTTTTCATCAAAAAAATTTAGCATGTGGAGAATACCAAGTACTCTAGGCATGTTTTAAGAACAAAACTAAAGCCATTTCCAATTGACGTCACAATATATTTTCATAATTATTTGTGGAAGTCCCTCCTGGGGTAGAATCATGTGCCTCGTTCAGGGTGTCACCCTATAGCACTCCTTTCCTGTTCACCTGTCTTTGGTACTCTCTCCAAAGATCTGAGGCTTTATGCTCACTGCACTTGTCTAGATTTATAATTTTCCATAGCTCATCTGTTAATTACATTCACCAAAGGTCACTGTCACCACTATTCCTAATGAAATTAATAGTCAAGATATCGACTATATTGTTTACTTTCACTGTGTTTATCTGTGATAACTAAGTGCCCTATATTTAGAGGTCCCTCCTATTAAAATGTTTGTGGAAACTAATGCATTTTCATTTTAACATGAAAGATGCTTTTCCTCCACATACACTGTCTTCCCTTTCACCAGTTGCTGCGAACCTGCAGATGTCTTCTTTTGCTTTTAGTATTTGTCACTTTAACTGATTTGCTCATTTAAATGAAATTGTCAGATGTACTTTTTTTTTTTTTTACAGAGTTCAGGGGAAAAATAAGCTTCACAACAAGTGGTTATTTCTAATTTGTTTCCAAATTAATTTCATTTATTAGCATCGAAACTTCCTATGTCAGCTATTGCCTATTAGGCTGTGCCATTTTAGAGAAAATTGTGTGAGAAGACGAGAAGCATCATCCTGAAACGTATAAACATCTCAGTGATAGCAAGTTAAACACCTGTGACAGACGTTTGTCCCTGTTGACTCATAGTCTAAACTTTAGGAGAGTTTGGTCAGCATTGTGTAGGAACAACACTTACTATCTCTGCCATGGGCCCGTGGAAGTCATTTTGCCTATCTCACTAAATGTCTCACCTGTAGGATGGTGGTACTAGGTCCTGCCTCCCAGCGTGATTTTGAAGATTAAGAGTAAAAAAAATATAGTGTGTTAACTATAGTGACTGGCATATAATAAGTGGTCATTACCATTATTACTAATTTCAGACCTGTGTTAGTAACTCCCGATGGTCTCCAGGTTTCTTCCGGAATTGGTTGTGCTAGTGTGAGTGGGAGAATACGCCTGGGAACCCTTTATTTAACTCCAAGATGATCACTCAGTGAGGTGAGAGGACTGTTTTCCAAGATGAGAAGGACAGGCTGCCCCTTAGCAAACTTGGATCCCTCTTGGAGGACCTGCTCTACGCTAGCCCTTGGCTATTCTCTTCTTACTCAAAGTCACTAGACAGGTTATTTTTTGTTTTTGTTTTAAGTCTTCAAAGATAATCTAAAGATCCAGGTAATCATTCACATGGTAGACAATACTGTTTTAAATAACTCAGCTTACCTTAGAAATAGACATTTCGACTTCCTCTGTAGATAACACTTGAATTTAAAATACTCATGGTTATCACTCAGCTGTACTGGTAATAATTATTTAGCATTAGCCTAAGCTTGCCATGCCCAGTTTGCCCCTTATCAAGGGCAGGAAGTTAAATATCAGAAGGCAGTGTATTGCATTTCGAGCTAATCTTTACTCTAGGCTGCCAGTCTTCACCCCACCCCTGGTATTTCTGGTAACATACATAAGGAATGCCTTATTCTGGTGATGCATGTTCCCTAGCACCTCAGGTCCATTTATGAATAATTGCAAATCTGCAGTTAATAGCAATCTAATCTTTGAATAGGATTCCAGGCATCTTCAATGACTTCTGAATAAAATGCTTCTTTTGAAATAATAGCTCACAAGTCAAATTGTACAAATCTGGGTTTCTTTGACTTGGTGAATTTAGCCCTAGTGCATGTGTTAACCAAGCTGGTAGCCAACCCAGATTACAACACAATTATATTTGCTGTGTATAGTTTAACAAAAAAAAATTATGTTTGCAAATTTGCAAGTCTATCTTTGAAATGCACACAATACGTAAAACATTCTGGGCAAAGGTGATTGGTGATTACCATGCTTATCAACTCTCCCCGAATGCCAGTTAAACCCCTTCACACCCTCACTTAATACTGAGTTGTCTTGGAATTCGAACCAAGTGCATGTGGTAGGTATCCCAGTTTGGGGCTTTGTAAAGATCTCTCATGTTTTCTATTCTCTTTTACATTTATCCGAGGTACAAATAATTGCATGAGGTTCCCTCCATTTTTATTTTGTAATTCTATACTTCTGGCCCTTCCCCTCCCACAAGGCTACTTCATATATCCAGCAAAATGTTGTAAGATGTCTGCCCTCCACCCGAGACAGAGCCGATCATCTCTGACACCTGCTTAGCCTCCTGAGTCTGCTACTGAGTGTAATTTTCCTTATTGGCAACACCACTCACCAGGTCAGCTCTACAGATTCTTTTTAGCCTAACCCAGTCCATTCCCCCCCATAAAAAATGTGTATATCGAGATAACTGCATCACTGTATGTTTGCAGCTTAATCAGCTTGTTTAAAAACCATTCTTGAGCACACAAAGATCAGGTTTTTTTAGCGGTGAGAGACCGGTTTCAGCCGAGTTACTTGCTGTGGGTGTGAGAGCTTCCGACCCTTAAACTGTTTGTTCTCAGTGTCAGCTTTAGAAATGAGTGCTCGGCTCTGCTCTGGGAGTTGAACCCCCTGGCTGCTGTCGATACCTATTTTTCTTAGACTTAAAAAAAAAAGCTTACTTTCATAACAGATAAATTACTCACTTTGTTTAAAAACTAACATAAAAAAGATACGTAGTTAGTGGTCTCCTCCCGCTTCCTCTCCCAGCAGGCTGGTTCCCATGCTGCCCTCCACTAGGTAACTACTGTTCTCAGTTTGTGATTTATCCTTCCAGCAACTTGTTATAGAATTAATGGCAAAAATAAAAAATAGAATATTTTTATATAGAAAAAGGAACATATACACAATCTAGAACATAGTTGTTGTTTTTTACCTATTATGTCATTAGTATGTGTCTATATCACTATGTAGGGAGCTGCCCCACTCTTTTTTAAAAAGCTACCAAATATGCCACCGAGGCACCTAATTTCTGGGACCACACCCTCGTTTCTAATTTGCTATTATAAATAACACGGTAAGGAAACACCTTGTGCGAACATGGTGTGCAGGCATATCTGTAGGGTAAGTTCTCAACATTCAAAGGCCTTTGGATCCAGGCCTCTGAGGACGAGAGCCTCCAGGTTTGACGAAGTGCCGGCAGGAAGGGAACCCCAGTGTAGGCTTTGCTCCTCAATCTTTTTGCCCGTATTCTTTTTTCCAGACTCTCGGCCTTCTCATTTCTGCTGCCCTGTTTTTGCACCACGTTTGCCTCTTTTTGACTGTACGATCATTTCCAGCTACCTCGAAGCTAACTCTTGGCTGCTTTCAATGTCTTCTTTCCAGAAACCTTTGGGTAGTTGACCTAATAAACATGAGAATTTGACAACTGGGTGGAACTTTTTTTCACCCCCATACCATGGAAGGCATGACATGAGGATGTCTAAACGGCAGTCCGTTGTACAAGGTCTCCGTGGTTTATGCGACTAGTGAAAGCTCTCCATTCCGCTGGATACTACAAAGCAGTATTTCAAGATCTCGTGTTATACAGCAGTCCAACGCAATCCTCTGCTTGACACTCAAAATTTAATACACACACTTCGTTTTTTCTTTTTGGTTGGAAAGGTTAAGCTCTAGTTTTCAGCCCAACCTCAGTCAGAAACTTCCTTTGGAAAGGAGGGGTTTTTATTGCTCTGTGAAATTCATCAAATTAAATGAAAAGGCTCTGGATTTTATTTGATTTTGCTCATAACAAATTTGTGACACCTCCTCTTCCCCTTTCCTCGATATTTGAGATTTTTGTCGATTGTGCATGATAGAGGAACGCTGCTAAGCTTGCAACTAATGAACTTGAAATTGTTTTGAGTAATTCTGCTTTTTTGGCTTTTTGTACCTAATCAGAATTGATGTGACTGAAGTGCAAATCTTCATAATAATCATGCATTTGCTGGCAGTGATTGGAGGACCACCTTTTTGGCAATCTATGGTAATTTCGTTCACATTGTGTATCCCATGTCATGCATGTTGTCTTTTGCTTGTGTTTCTAATGGAGGATAACACGGTTACAGGGTGAAATGTAAAATTATTTTGTTTTTTTCTGAAAACGAAAGGCTCACAGCAGTCGGACACCAACTTCTCTCTAGGGCCTGGTGGATCTCACTAGCCTTCTACGTGGTGCCTTAGGTGCCCCCGGGGCTGGTTCTCAAGGCGCTTTCCAATTATGACTTGTCACTCCATTTTACTAGTACAGCCGAGGAAACAGCAGGGAGCGTGAGATAACAATGACGTGGTTAAATCGGCCCTTTTATTCCATTTCTGCACTCAGTTTTTTGGTCATATGCTTAAAGCTGAATGGCAGATTTGGGGTAGGAAGTTAACTCTGGCCCCCAAACAGAACCGATGCTATTGAAGCCAGTGCCATAGTGGGTTTTTGGTGTGTGGTTTTTTTTAACAAGCCATGCCCTAGGTTTTCAACCTGACCTAAACTCTAGGCTCCCCTCCAGTCCCAAATTCTCTTCCAGAAACCTCTGGCAGAGGGACTGTGATATGTGTGCCGTGGAGGCTCAGACACAGGCTCAGGGGCCCGCCTGCCTGAGTCGGCCCCAGCTCCCATCTCCTGTGGGAACGTCACCTGTCAGCTCTCCGCTGCTTACTTCCTCCCCTGTACAATGAGGACAGCAGTCCCGACCCCATCGGGTGATTTTTGTGGATTAAATGAGTAAATATGTGTAAAGCACTTAGAACGGTGCCCCCATCACACAATAAGCCTCAAATGTTGCTGATGTACCCTCCAGATCTGAGCCAAAGTAGTTTGTCCTCCCTGGCCCGGTTAACCACGGACCGCTCCCACCACCCGTGCAGAGTACAGTATTTGTCACTTAGTAGGTATTACCTTACCAAAAAGATTTACTGCTTCTATGCAAACATAGTTCTTAAAAACCAGATTAATTTTAAGGTATAAGGGAAGTTTACCGAGCAAGAGTTTTCCCTCACCTAAGTCACTTTATGATGGTAAATTAGATACTTGAGGAAGTGAAATTAACACACTTCCCTAAGTATTTATTGCCAGAAATTATTTAATGCCCTTTATTTGGGGGGGGGGGGCGGGAATGAAGGGATAAAAATAATCTATAGTCAACAAGAAAAAGTTGGAAACTATTTAGTCATGTACATAATATGTACATAATATCATTCAGGTTCACATCTTTCCTACACGCAGTCTCAAAGCCAATACGGTCTTCAGTGAAATCTGACATCTATAGATCTCACTAGAGAATTTTATTACTTTTGCTCTCCACTAGGTTAGTAGTTATTTTTTTATATAACTGCATTTAAAAAATAAATCAGCCATAGAAGAAGGATTTTTCTTTTCCTAAAACTAGATCATAAGCCTAAAGCCTAAGCCTAAAGCTTACCCCCACTTAAAATTGTTATATGGCTTTGTGTTTTATTCCAAAATCTCCGCCCTCCCCCCCAAAAAATTATTTTGAATATCTTAAACATAGATAAATAACCATAGTTTTAGCATATTGATGACAAAAAGGAAATGGGATTCTGGCTTGATCATCCAGAAATAGGCCAGCATCAGGTATGTAGACCTGTCCATCTAGTTATCCTCATCAGTATGTAGCACTGTTGTACGTGAAGTTACATATCCACTTAGGCTACACACATCCCCTTATTCTTTGGCTTTTGCCTGGCAGTAAATTCGCTGCAGGTATACTTGTTGCCTTTTTAAAATTAGGATTTATACACACATCAGAGATGTAATTTTTTAAAAGGATAAAATATTTTGTCCTATCTTTATTGATAATTAAGAAAGTATAATCATCCTTTTTTATTAAGTGTTTTACAAGGAACCCTCGGGCTCCAGGCTAACCTGGAGTTCGCAGACCCCCCAGTCCAATTTCAGGCTTAGGGAGGTTAGTAGCAGAGGGAAACCCCCCGCCCTGTCTTACTCGCATCACTGGTCCTCCTGTCACCATCAGTGGATGAAAAGGGAAGACTTCACCTCCTGGTGCTGTTTGGGGGCGTAGAGAAAACGTCTGTGTTTGAGCGACGGTCCCCAGGAGAGTCCCACAGCTGACCGCAGGCCACTGCACTTCACCGTTTTCTTCTTACTTGGCCCTAAGCATTTATGGCTGAACATGTTCGTTCAGGAAAGAGTACTATGTGTAGTGTTCCCACTTACCTGTGTGCCAAAATGGAGAGAGGGTTTGTTTAGGGCCTAGATGTGAAATTTTCATCTCTTCTGAGGTTGATGTCATAAAATGGAAAATGCTTTCTAAGTCCTCATTCAAAAGCTTTTACTAATATTCAGAAAGCAAATTTATGGCAAACAAACAAAAACAGTGCAGAGGTCTTCATAACGCTGATTGCAGGAGATCAGCGCCGTGCACAGGTAAGTGGTTCGAGTCCGCTGCGTATGGAGCACACATTCTTGCTGCTCTTCTTTCTCTTCAAAGAGACCAGTTTTTACCATTTTGTTTTGTTTGGTTGGGTATTTTTTGTCTTGTTTTTGTTTTCTTTCTTTTTCTTTTTCTTTTTTTTAAGGAAAAAATACTTTTATGCACAAAAGTCCACTAGGGCGTGGTTTACATGTTGCAAGAAATAAAATAACACATTTGTGTGTGTGTATTGCTTCCCAAAGGAATATATCCATTTGGAACGCCTGGGAACTATCTGTTATCGTATCACTCTTTTGAAATAGGGGGGGAGGGACATACAACTTTGAAGGGGACCCACAAATAATCCCCACATGGTTACTCTCACTGACATTTGATTCTCGTAAATGTACTAGTTGATTAAATGTATGTGTGTATTAAGCCATGAGACACCTTATTCATTAGGTAAAGTATTTACAAATAGTCATAGCCCACATTCTTTGGAAGAAAGTATCTATACTCAAAATAGTACTTTCTATTTTTGCTGAAATTTATAGAACCTATAAGAACACTTTATTATGCTCATAAGAAAACTAGTGTAACAGTTAGTAACCGATATTCTACATTAACCCAAACCATTGAACCAAAACATGGGTCCATTGTCAATCTGGCAAATTGAGGGTTTAAGATCTTTTTTCCACTTCCACCCTTTTCAAACATAAATTCCATTAGATTGGTATTACTTTGGATGCAGCCAGGGAATCCAGAGGGTTTTTCCCTGGCTGTGGGGCAGGCCCCAGGCCCCAGGAGAGCTTTTCTTGTCCTGGCCAGCCTCGGAGGCTCCGAAGCCCTGGAGGCCTGAGGTAAAGGTGTCTTCACGCAGCTTTCTGGCTGCTCCTGCAGAGTGGATGCACTGTGGCCACCTTGGATGCGTCCCAGGAGGACAGAGAGAGACTGGGAAAGACAATGTGCCCACCCTCCTTAATCTTGGGTGTGAGGTGCCAGTGGCAATACTTCTGGTGCTTTTTGTAAGCGGAGCAGTTGGTGCCGATTTTGAAGGGCTCATCACCCGGAGAGGCTCGGGATCCCGCTGGCCCCAGCGTTCCCTTCACTTGGCCTCCGATTTCCTGGTAGCTCCCTTCCCTGTTCCCTCTCAGTGGGGGCCCCGTGTGTCTAATACGCTCGCAAAACTAATTCCACATGGAGAGTAAGAGAAAGGGAGCGCTTCATCCAGCAGGTGTGTACGGAGCCCCTGCAATATGTGGGGCTCTAGAGAGAAGGTAAAAATCAACTCAAACACAGCCTCACACCCAGGAGCTCAGGGTTGGTGCGTGTGGCCATCACATGACGGGTGAGCAGCGTCCTCAGCATGTTTCTGGTACTTGCTTCTGAGTCTGTTCTTGCTCACTTTGGGTCCAAGCCACTTACTAATTTGCCTGGCTTTGCTAATGTTTCTGCTGCTTCTCTCTTCTTTCAAAAGGCAACCATTTCCATGATCCTAAAGCATTTTCCAGATTTTAAATACAGCTGTGACGCTGTCCAGCCCAGCTGTGCACAGCTCTCTGCAGGGCCAGCCTTGGCGCTCATTCCGTCCGCTGGCCCACATTCAGGCAGGCCCCTTAATGCCTTGCTGCTTTGGAAATGTGGGAGAGTGTAAGGTTTCCCTCTTGCCAGACAGGTCCTTTGTCACGGGAGCAGAAAGGGAGCCAGCCCGCATTTGGAGTTTCCGCCAGGTGCCTCAGGTTCGCACTGCAATAGTTCTAGTTTTCTGAACTAGAGCAGAAAAATCTCTTGGAATTCAAGCAGCCATGGTGTTGGTTTTCTCTTTTATGGAAAACAAGTTTTGGATTGGTCTGTAGAGTTTGGAGATCAATTAGGGAAGGAGGACAGCATTGAGGATGGTCCAGGGAGGTCTGGGCTTGATTTTTAAGTTGACCTATTTCATGTTAGAAGCGTAAACACCACCACAGTACAACTTGAAGTTCAAACAGTTGATTCCAACTTTTATTTTTTTTTAGAGTTGCAGTTTTGCAAGAGGTCATAGAGTTGTGTAAACAAACAGAGGTCTTAAGAATTTTGAAGAAATTGAGGAGCTAAACATTAAGAATTATATCTACTCATTTTACTGCAGTTTTATACATATGAACAAATAGAAAATCTCAGATTTCCTATTTGGTTTTAAAAGTGTAGGCAGATGGCAGCCTAAAAAGCGTCAGCAGCCCTCATTAAATTGTTTTCATTGTAAAAACTCATTGCCTGCTAAGCCTGGGCTTTGGGAATCTTATTCCTATAGTCATTTGTTTCTATTTTTAGACTCATCATTTTATTGTTGCTTTCTTTCCATCTATATTGGACAAAACTTGAGACTTTTTTAAAATATATATATTTTATTGATTTTTTATAGAGAGGAAGGGAAAGGGAGAGGGATAGTTAGAAACATCGATGAGAAGAACATCAATCAGCTGCCTCCTGCACATCCCCCACTGGGGATGTGCCCACAGCCAAGGTACATGCCCTTGACCAGAATCGAACCTCGGACCCTTCAGTCCGCAGGCCAATGCTCTATCCACTGAGCCAAACCGGTTAGGGCAAAACTTGAGACTTTAGAAAAGCTAAAGGGGAGGTATAGGAAGGGAGAGACTCTTAAATGATTTTAAATAGTAATGCAAATATATTTCATTTTAAATGACGGATTTGTATTCGCAAGATTAAATACATGATCTCAATCCACTCAGCCCCCCTTGTTTTAAATCAGTCCCTTTCCTACTTGGATGTGCTTGCCATGTTTGTCCCCCACACGTGAACGCCTTCTTCCTTGCCCTCTGCTTCCTAGCTGCTTGTATCCTAACAATTTGGCCTTGGGAGCTCTTCTGAGTAGAACTTCTGTCTTCCATTCTCCAGTTTACAAATTTTTGTTTTCAATCCAGTTGCGAATATTTTTAGTCTTTCATCATCCACGCTTCATCGTAACAATGAGTAACAAATTACGGATATAGAGGCAGAGTTAAAAAAATGCACAAAGAAAAAGACAGAGAACTCTTCTTTGATAAAAAACACCAGAAGACAGCCCAGTTCACTATTGCCAGACGCCTGGGATGTGTTAAATGAGCCTCACTTAGCTTATGACTCAAATTAATAAAGTTGGATCAGTTATTTTCTTTTTAAAGATTGCTGTCAGCAGTGAGATTAATTTCTGTGTAGCCTCGTCTCTTCAGACTTGTTATGTTGCTCATAAAGGAAAAGAGAGAGGAACTTCCATTAGTTTAAGTATTTACTAGACTGGGGGGCATGGAGAAGAACATATCAGAATATGAATTGAGTATGTGACTGTTCTGTTTTCCTATTTCAGTTTGTATATATTTTAATTGCTCTTTCTCTCTACCTATTAAAGATTCCAGTGCTGAATATTCAAGTGAAAATTTTTCCTGCACTTTGTACTGTCGCAGGGACCATATTTTCCTGTACGAATTATTTCCGTGTAATCTTCACAGGTGGTGTTGGGAAAAACGGATCAACGATCGCAGTGAGTATCGCTTATGCTAGGACAGTGTGGGGGTCACTTCATTTTTCATTTGAATTATATTACATCGCCCGGCCAGCATGGCTCAGTGGTTGAGCATTGACCTATGAACCAGGAGGTCACAGTTCAATTCTGGTCAGGGCACATGCCTGGATTGCGGGCTTGATCCCCAGCAGGGGGCATGCAGGAGGCAGCGGATCAATGATTCTCTCTCATCATTGATGTTTCAAGCTCTCTCCATTCCTCTCTGAAATCAATAAAAATTGTATTGAATTATATAAAATCACTTGTCAACTAGGAGTTTCCACTTAGTCTTAAAAATAGTAATATCCAAAACTTCAGCTTTATTTATACATGCATACAATGATATGCTTATATTTGTGTGATATGCACAAACTTTTGTGCACCTGTGTTTTTGTGTGTGTGTGTTTTGTTTTTTTTTAAAGAATGGCCTGCTTTATAAAATAAGCCTGGCCTCGTAAAAGTGAACTCCTCAGTTTGTGCCTTCCCAGTCCGGGTGGCTGCTTTTCCTGAGCTGTTCTGATGCTCCATTGTAGAAACTGTTGGCTGTCAGACTCTACAAGGCTCTTAAAAGCTTGAGTTGGTCAGTATCGAATCCCACTAATCCATCTCCTCTCTGCCCTGCACAGGGAACAAGTGTCCTTTCTCCTTTTCTCCACATTGGATCCGTGATCACATTAGCTGTGATGATCTACAAGAAATCCGCAGTCCAGCTTTTTGAAAAGCATCCCTGTCTTTATATACTGACATTTGGTTTTGTATCTGCTAAAATCACCAATAAGCTTGTGGTAAGCACGAACGTTTTTGTTTGTTTTTAATTTTCATCTGATTCTGGTTTTAGGGCCGTAGTTTTCATTCCGTAGTGTCCTGAGAAGTTGTAGAGTTTGCTCTCCTCCAATCAGAATCTCCTGACATCAGTCTGGGAGCTGTTGGTATCTTCTGTGAAGCGACAGTGAGATTACCAGGAGCTCCTTGAACCTCCATAGTTCTCCCCTCTCTCCACAATTTCATGTGCTTAGTTTGCTCACCTGCATTCTTCAGTCTCAGTCTAGACACTCAAATTAGGCTCCTGGTGAGACGCGTGCTTGGGGGCCTAGTTGATGGGAAGAGCCCTTTGGGGTGTAGCTCTCACACACACTCCCCGTGGGCCGTAGTTTGCCCACGGCTGGTCTAGACACTCAAATTAGGCTCCTGGTGAGATGCGTGCTTGGGGGCCTAGTTGATGGGAGAGCCCTTTGGTGTGTAGCTCTCACACACACTTCGTGTTGTCAGGTTTTTAGTTTTGGAAATTCAACGCCTGTTGCTAAAGAATTCTTGAGACTTGCTGTTCGAGCACAGTGCTGGTTTTCTGTGTAGCTCACCATTGCTCCAACACGGAAATGCCCACGCCATTGATTCTCTTTCTTTCCTAGGTGGCGCACATGACAAAGAGTGAAATGCATTTGCACGACACAGCCTTCATAGGCCCAGCACTTCTGTTTCTGGATCAGTATTTCAACAGCTTTATCGATGAATATATTGTGCTTTGGATTGCCCTGGTAGGTATTGTATTTCCTGATGTGGAGGCTACTTACTGTTTCAGTGGGCCAGTCCTGAGAGATCCATCTTGCAATTGTAATGATTTGGAATGTCAAAGCCTCATTTATAGGACTTTGTGGGAGTTCCTTGTGGCTTCATCTTTGAACCATTTTTTACATTATTTTTAATTCTGCCTGCATTAGGGCTTATAAATTCCATATTTCTGTAAAGCAGGAGTTGGCAAACTACACCCAGGGTGCCAATGGCCTGGTTTTGAAAATAAAGTTTTATTGGAACACAGCCATGGCCATGCATGTCTGTGGCTGCATTCATGCAATGATGGCAGAGTTGAGCATTCGTGACAAAGACCGTGTGGTCCGCAAAGCCTGCAATAATGACTGTGTCTCTAAGAAAGAGTTTGTTGACCCTTGTTGTAAAGGAAGAATCAGTGAGTTCTGAGATGTTAAATTGTATGGAATGGAGGGTGACTCTGAAGAGAAGGGGAGAAAGCCAGAAGCCACGCCTCTGCACTGTCGAAGCTGAGGGCACCCTACGCAGGTCAGGTGACTCTAATCGTCGTCTCTTTTCGTTCCAGGTCTTCTCTTTCTTTGATTTGATTCGCTACTGTGTCAGCGTCTGCAATCAGATCGCATCTCACCTGCACATACACGTCTTCAGAATCAAGGTCTCTACAGCTCACTCGAACCATCACTAGTGATGGCGTCGGTGTGGTATAGGAAACGCGTGCTTTCTGCAGGAAAGAATCTGAACATATTAATGAGAGTGGGGAGGACAAGAACAAGTATAATTTATAATAATCAACGTGGTATAACTTTTATCCTTTGTTACTGGTAACACTCCTTAACGATCCTCTGTGAGAATGGGAGTTTCGAGTCCTGTCCTGTATATTGTACATGTTGATGTACAGGTTTTGGCCAAGCGAGCGTGCGGGGAACAATGCCATGTGCTTATAAGCTCTCCTGGATTCAGAATAAAATTGTCATGGGGGGCTGATCCCCTGCAGTGGAGATTTCTTAGGTAGAATATTTGCAGGCCAAAAGACGGTTGCTTTATAATTTTAACAAATCATCATCGTTTAGTGACATCTTTGATTCATGTCTTCTCAAGCTTTCTTTGCAAAGGAGCTCAGCTCAGGAGCAGATGTACCCCACTGGCGTGTGAGGGGGAGCTAGTGACCAACACCCGGAATTCGGAGGGGAAGGTTTCCTATCTTGACATCGCTGAGGAAGTCATTTTTTTATTGCTCAAGAAATGGAGTGTCTCGTGGGCTGGGACCCTGTCAGCATGCGGAATAATGTACCTTTGTCGATTCATTTTATTTTTTTAAATAAATATATGATCTGAAAGCCAGCGTTTTTCTCAATTTTATTCACTGGAAAAATAAAGTAAGTTTTAATGTCATTTTTCAAACTTGAAGCAAAATTTATTTCTGTTCTTTAATAAATAAGAAAATTTGGTCAGCTGTGTTGTTCTGTCCTGTGACCTTTCCATTTTGTATAAATTATTCAACTTAAAACATAGGAGAACTGTATTCTTTTCCCCTCCTGATAGTTTTGTTGTTATCGTCACCCTGTCCCACCCTCCAAAGACATTTGTGTTCTTTGTATAGGATTCGGGGACCTGAGGGCCACACTCACATACACACACTAAAAAGATGCAATTCTTGGCCCAGCCGGCGTGGCTCAGTGGTTGAGCATTGACCTATGAACCAGAAGGTCCCAGTTCGATTCCCGGTCAGGGCACATGCCTGGGTCCCCAGTGTGGGGTGCAGGAGGCAGCTGATCAATGATTCTCATCACTGATGTTTCTCTCTATCCCTCTCCCTTCCTCTCTGGAATCACAAAATAAAATAAAAATGAAAAAATGCAATTCTTGAAAAAATGCTTCTGAATGTTCCCCATCCCTTCCACTGTTTCAGCAGAAGGTAGGAGAGGTGTGGAGGGAAAGTGGACTGGGTGACCCCTAAACTTGGGACTCTACGGTTCTCTTTTCTCCAGAGAAAAAAATGTCACTGTGGGATCCCTCCACCTTTAGCTGAAGGGTTGAACTGGGCTTCCCAAGATAGCAAGTAGGAAGTAGGATGTCGAAAACAGAGCTTCCAAACCAGGTGGTGGGTGGACAGGCCTATTTATGGACACCTCTGGCTCCTGCTCACTGACATTGCCGCCCTGCGTGACCCCGGACCACAAATTCCTCCCTCTGGCTCACGGCCCTTCCTCCCAGGAACCTGGAGAGCTCGCCTGCCCCGTCCCAGCGCTGTGGCCAGTGCGCCTGTGTCCCTGACGCCTCCTGGTGAAGTGGAGCTGCTGACCCCTAGAGCTCGGCCACCAGCACAGCCCCAGTTCTGGGCCAGCACCAGGTCCCCTACTTGCGGTCCCGTTTATTCTCACATCTATTCCTGTCTTTTTGCTCCTCCCCCAAGAGTGGAAGTCAAAGATACACATAGAAACCACAGGAAGTTTTCATTTTATTCTTATCCTCCCGTGTCCACAGACCTTTTTACGTGGCAAGCCGGAGCCTTTGGCCACAGCTGCTTTCTCTGGAGGATTTTGTAATAGTGGTTCCTGGGACGGGGCAGTTCTAGCAACTCCTACGTCTCCATGACACCTGTGCTCCTGTTACGCTCTGTGTTCCCCCTGCACAAGGTGAGCCCTGCTCCGTGAGCACAGAGGCCAAATCTTCCGAAGCCTTGAGAAAGCAGATTCCAGGGATCCCAAACTCGAGACACCAGCTCGAAGCAAGACCGGGTTCCCAGGACTCGGGAGAAGAAGGTCCCGGGGCTGAAAGCTTCGCTGACCCTGCCATGTTGGCAGGGGCCAAAGTCCAAAACTGGCCTGGAGGTCTAGTCACTCCCGTTCACCACAGTTCTCATTTCACAGACTTTCCCTTTGATTTCTTCTGTTTCTTCTGTTCTTCGTATTCCCGTATTTTCCGTTGGAAATAGCCTGTGGGTTCAGAAGCAGGTGTTAGAGGATGTAATCTGGCCGGGCAGACGGATGAGCTCAGGGATGAGGATCAGAAATACCCTTTCTGGCCTGGCTGGCGTGGCTCAGTGGTTGAGCATCGACCTATGAACCAGGAGGTCATGGTTTGATTGCCGGTCAGGGCACATGCCCAGGTTGCGGGCTCTATCCCCAGTGGGGGGTGTTCAGGAGGCAGCTGATCTATGATTCTCATCATTGATGTTTCTCTCTCTCCCTTCCTCTCTGAAATCAATTTTTAAAAAAAATTTTAAAGGAAAAAAAACCCCCTGTCTGCTCCCCATACCCCCACTAAACCCACATTCTCGTTGGGGAATTCCCACACCCTCACAGGCCTCTGGAGACCCAGTATTCCATTAGCCCCCAAAGGGGCTACAAGGAATAATAGAGCGACTTCTGCAAAGTGTCAGCCCGGGGGCATTTCCTGAGGCTTTGAGTTCTTTCTTTCCAACCGGCTGATAAGATCCCAGCTGTCCTGGGGCCTCTGAAAGGAAGTGCCTTTTCCTCCCCTCAACCCAGGGCCAGGGCCGAGTGACCCCACAGGCCTAGAGGGTAGAGCAGGAGTGGGCAAACTTTTTGACTCGAGGGCCACAATGGGTTCTTAAACTGGACCGGAGGGCCGGAACAAAAGCATGGATGGAGTGTTTGTGTGAACTAATATAAATTCAAAGTAAACATCATTACATAAAAGGGTACGGTCTTTTTTTTTTTTTAGTTTTATTCATTTCAAACGGGCAGGATCCGGCCCGCGGGCCGTAGTTTGCCCACGGCTGGGGTAGAGGCTCTCGCTGGCTGCCTACCTGCTGGAGGGTTCTTGCTCTTCTCAGCTTCCTGGATGAAAAGCGAGAAGAGCTGTGTCTTCACAAACTTCTTCACGAATCGGCGGTTGGCCTTGGAGGGCAGAGCCTTGTAGAAGGCCCGTTCTTGGAAGCGGCCTTGCCCGTTGGCCTCCCACCTGATGTAGGAAGCGTAGTGGCCGACGGTCTTGACAAAGAACTGCACGAACGGGCCTGACACATGCTCGTTGATTTGTTCTGGAGCTGCGGGGGACACGGAGACGCCGCTCAGGGAGGAGCCAAAGGATGAAACGGCCCACCTTTACCTTTGAGGGGCTGTCACTGCAGGCT